GGCCGGGCCCCACCTTCACTCCCCCCGAGCCTGCGGGGGAGGGGCTTGGCCTCAGTTTACCTGTCTGTAAAATGAAGGGGTTTCCTGGATCAGGGGTTCCCCACCCTGGCTTCCGTTGGGGACGATCAGGGACATGTGAAGGAGGCAGGGTCCCTGGGATCACGCTCCTGGTCCGGCAGGTCCAGGAGGCCCCAGAAATCCGTGTTGCTCGTGAGCCCGAGCCAGCATTGGCTCTGGCGGCCCGTTGTTCTGGCTCCGTCCATTCCACCCCCTCTGTGGTTCGTTGGTGCCTCAAAGGGAGGCAGGACCAAGGAGGCGGCACCGTGACGGGCCCCTGGTGGGCAGTGGCGCCCTGCGCTGGCCCAGGCTGTTGTCACCAGGGCTCGGGCTCTGTGGGACATCGGGGTGTGGTGGCAGCCCCCTGTCATCACCACGCCCCTTCTCCCCTCTACCCCAGGGCCGGGTGTGGCTCTGAGCTGCTGTCCCCCAGGGGCGGGAGGTACAGAGGAGTCAGGCAGCCAACCCGGGCCTGTCCTCTGCCCCCGACTCTGCCCCAGGTACCTGGACAACATCCACCTGCACCCCGAGGAGGAGAAGTACCGGAAGATCAAGCTGCAGAACAAGGTGTTCCAGGTGAGGCTGCGGCCGCAGGACCTCTGCCTGGCACGGCCACCGCAGCTGCGCAGTCACACGGGACCTGAGGGCGCTGGGGTGGCTGGGCTGCAGGCAGCGGGAGGCCTCCTGCAGGGGTGCGGGCTGAGGCAGCAGAGAGTGCTGGCAGGTGGTGAGGGGCAGCTTTGTGAACACAGGTCATGCACAACATGTGCGTGTTGTCTGCTCGCCCGCCCCTGGTGCCTTTTCCTTTTTGCAGGGGAAGATTCACCCTAAGTTAACATTTGCTCCCAATCTTCCTCCCTCTTTTTTCCTCCCCTCAAAGCCCCAGTCCAGAGTCGTGTGTGGTTGTAGGTTCTTCTGGTTCTTGTCTGTGAGCCCCTGTCACAGCATGGCTGCGGACGGACGGGTGGTGTGGTTCCCCACCCGGGAAGCAGACCCAGGCGGCCGAAGCAGAGTGCGCCCGACTTTAACCACTAGGCCATCAGGGCTGCCTCCTCTGGCGTGTTTTGACTTTAATTTGAATTAGTTGGGAACGTATCAGCATTGGGGAAATTTTTCACACAAACCCAGATTTCTGGTTTCTGTGGAGAAATCACAGGGTCCTGCCATCATGGCCCATGTTACCCGTGCAGCCGGCAGGGCGCCTGCGGGTGCCCCCATGCCCGCCATCACACACAGCCCCCCGCCTTTGGGACCCTGCAGCCTCTGCTTAGACAAGTGTATTACTGCTCAGCTCTGTGGCCGGCTCCTGGGGTCCAGTCCATCCAGGGGTCAGCGGGCGCTCCGAGAGCGGGGACTGGACCAGATGGGTGGGGCTTCAGGGGGCCCCAGGGCCCCCCTGACCCCTGGCTCCACTCCCAGGAGCGCATTAACTGCCTGGAAGGGACCCACGAGTTTTTCGAGGCCATCGGCTTCCAGAAGGCACTGCTCCCGGTTCCTGATCAGGGTAAGCGGAGTGGAGAGTGGGGTGGGAGGGCCGGCTCCGGGGTCTGCCCACGCCGCAGTGACGTCCTGCCGCCCCAGAGAGCCCGGAAGAGTTCTACGTGCTGAACGTGGCCGCCCTGGCCCAGCCGCAGAGCCTGGAGCGCCACAAGGAGCAGCTGCTGCACGCCGAGCCGGTGCGCGCCACGCTGGCCCGCCAGCGCCGGGTCTTCCGGCCCTCGCCCATGGCCTCGCAGTTCGACCTGCCCGGGGACTTCTTCAACCTCACGGCCGACGAGCTGCGGCGGGAGCAGAGGCTGCGAGCCGAGGCCGTGGAGCGGCTGAGCGTGCTGCGGACCAAGGCCATGCGGGAGAAGGAGGAGCAGAGGGAGATGCGCAGATACACCTACACTCTGCTGCGCGTGCGCTTCCCTGACGGCTGCCTCCTCCAGGGTGGGTGTCCCCTCCGCGGCGGTGTCCCCTCCAGGGCGGGCGCCGGCAGGGCAGGGCTGTGTGGAAGGGTGCGAGCTGAGGCCCAGGAGCCGCATCTGTGCTGACGGAGCTGCGCTGGGCGGGGTGCTAGCTCCTGCTGCCTGTTGCTGTGCCCCCTGGCAGGGGCCCGAGGCCTCTCTGTTCTGAGCTCGTCCTAGGAGGAGGCCCTCAGCTCCATGTTTAGACGCTGATGGCTCGGCGCTGGCGGGCCCGGGGCCGCCACGAGCTCCAGCCCGCTCTGCCTGTCCTGCCCGCAGGGACCTTCTACGCTCGTGAGCGGGTGGCGGCGCTGTACGGGTTCGTCCGGGAGGCCTTGCAGAGCGACTGGCTGCCGTTCGAGCTGCTGGCCTCAGGCGGGCAGAAGCTGTCGGAGGACGAGAACCTGGCCTTCAACGAGTGCGGGCTGGTGAGTGGGTGACGGGGCACAAGCTCCCCACCAGGGCGGCGCTCTCTGGTGCCGGCGTGCTAGGAGCGGGTGCCTGCGGCCAGGCCCCCCGGGTTGAAGTCCTGCCCTTCCACTTGCTCACGGGGTGACCTTGAGCCAGTGAGTAACTTCTCTATGCCTGTTTCCCACTTGGCGAATGGGCACGTGGCGAGTGTTAGTTGGAGTCCTTTGAGGAGCAGAAGCAAGATGGGGCGGGGGGCGGGCAGACCCTGACACCGGGAGACCGGGCAGGAAGGAGGTCTGGATGCTGGCATGGCTGCAGCCGGGCCGGGGGGCGTCCCCGAGCCCCGGTCGTCGTCAGAGGGGCCCCCTGCGACAATGGGCTGACTGTGCCACTGTGCCAGCCGGGCGGGGCACCGCCCGTGGAGATGTGAGCTGTCGCGGGAAGGCCAGGGCCAGGCTGCAGCTTCTCGCCCCGCTGCAGGTGCCCTCAGCCCTCCTGACCTTCTCGTGGGACGCGGCTGTGCTGGAGGACATCCGGGCCGCGGGCGCCGAGCTGGACTCGTCCATCCTGAAGCCCGAGCTCCTGGCGGCCATCGAGAAGCTCTCGTGAAATAAAAGCAGGGTTGGCTCCAGCCGGGCTCCGTCTCATGCTCCCCTGTGTCCCCCGCTCCGGAGGCCGGGCCCGCAGAGCCCGCAGGCGCACGGAGGGTGCTGGCTGGTCGGGGCCACGTGCCTGTGGCCGCTGCCCGGGGAGGGCTCTCGGGGGCCCGCCGTGCCGTCCTGCTCGGTAGTGCTGGTCTCAGCTTCGCCAGCCCCAGGGCATGACACGTGGGGCTGCCAGGACGCAGTTCTGTAAGCACTAAATTATGAACCCGAATAAATAGGGCGTCGACCAGCTTCCGGGTAGTGAGTTGGGGCTGCGTGGTGTGGCAGGGCCAGCGGTGGGTGGCTGGGCGCCCAGGGCCCCGCACAGCCCGGGCGAGCCCTCCACTTCGCTGCTTTCCTGAGGGGAACCCACGACCTTGTCCCCACCGCCCAGCTGAGGGTGGGCGTCCCGGGGCCTCCAGGCTCAGCAGAGCAGGTTCCCCTCGGTTGTCCGTGTTCTCAGCCCTGGAGCCTGTGACAGAAGGGACTTTGCATGTGATGCAGGACCTTGAGACGGGGAGGCCGTCCCGGGTGGCCGTCCCGGAGGGCCACGTCATCATGGGTCGTCACACGTGGAAGGAGGAGGAAGTGATGGAAGACGCTGCACTGCAGGTTTCAAAGGAGGCAGGGGCCTCGAGCCAAGGAGAGCGGGCGCCTCTGAAAGCTGGCCAAGGGGTGGAGATGGACTCCCCGCCGGAGGTTCCAGAAGGCCCCAGCCCTGCCCACACCTGGAGTTTAACGCAGTGGGGCCTGTATCAGACTTCTTTCTCATCTCCAGGACTGAAAGAACACGCTCATATGAAGTCACCGAGTTTGCGGTGACTTGCTCTAGCGGCCACAGGAAGCCCACAAACGGGGAGCCAAGGCCTGGAGCACCACAGGCACTCTCCCAGACTGTCCCCTCCTCCTCCCCCCGCTGGCCCCCGGCTCCAGGCCCTTCTCCACCCTTTGCTGCACGGAGACCTGAGGTGGCTGGTCCTGTGGCCACCGCCAGCTGGGTGATGGACAGACTCGATGCTGCAAGGCCCCAAATGTGACTCCAAAACCAAGTCTTGCCAACCCCCCCGCCAGTGAGCAGCCTCCACATGTGGCTGTGCTTCACAGCTGGGTTCTCCTACGGGAGCAGGACCTGGGCCTGGCGCTCAGCGCCCACATCGCCCCCCTGTCCCCACCTGCAGGTTGTCAGGTGGCCACCTGCAGCGGGTTAAGGGGCCTTGCCTGGTTCGGCGGTCACGGCCCCAGGTGTGGTCCACGGGCCTGCCCTTAGACACAGCTGTAGCCACCACCAGCGGCATGCCTGGTGGGGCGGGGCCGGGCCGGGCCCTCAGCCTGCAGGGGGCCTTTGTCAGCCCCTCCCAGATGGGGCCTGGGGGCTGGGGGCCCCTGAAGGATCGGGGTTGGCAGGACACAGGCCTGGCGGGGTCTGGCTCACCGCTGAAGTGCTCTGTGTGCTGACGTGTCAGCTGGCTCATCTCCCGGGGGCAGCGGGGACGAAACGAGGACCGGGGTCCAGGTGGGATGGCGTCTGAACTCTCCCCGAGTCTCGGCTCCCCTGGGTGTTAGCACGTGCTCAGACACCTCGGGGGGCTCCCAGCCCCAGTGCAGGGCTGCTCCGGCGTCCTTGGCGGGTTCCGCTCCTCAGGTGTGGGCCGGGCCAGTTGGCTCTGGAAGCCAGGACTCAGGTCCTCGCCTCCCCGAGGGGCAGGAGGCGCTGCCCAGCGTCATCACCCGCATCTTGAACCGGGTGGGCGGGAGGCCAAGGACTCCACAGCAAAGAGAGGGGAGAGCACCACAGTGTAACCCTTCATACGGACACCAGCGCGCCCCAGGGGGCGGGGGAGTGGACCCCGGACAGCAACAGCGCAGCACCGAGTGCGGCTGGAGCGCACTCGCAGAAACGACGCGTGTGAAGGACGACAGACACGCGGATCGGGGGAGACAGCAGGTTTATACACATCCACGTCCGGCCCGGCGCCACACCGCAGCACGCGGGACAATTCATCCACAAGCATCTCGTCCGGCGTCCGCTCGGGTCCGCAGGCCAGGCCGGCCGTCCCCGAGCAGGTCCCCGCGGGGCAATAATGCTTTATTAGAGGGCGGGTTGATATGTAGCTCTGGGGGATTTTTACAGAGATCGAGAACTAATCAAGCATCCTATATAAAACTTTCCAAACCTCCGCGGAGGTCTGTGACGCGGGACAAAGTGCTCTTTACATAGGAACCAGGGCTTTCAAGTATCGGAGGGGCGTCGGAGGAACCCTAACCAGCCTGCGCACGGCCAGGCGGCTGCTCAGGAGGGGCTAAGCGCGCTGGCGGGCACGGGGCTCGGGCTGCCGTCCAGCCCCACGGGGCCCCCGGCTCCCGAAGTGGTTCCGCACGGGGCCTGGACCTCTGCAAGGCAAGGGGGGGCACTTAGCCGGCTGCAGCCCCAGCCCAGGTGGGCACGCTCCCCACCCCCAGCCGCCCTCAGAGCCTGATCCGGAGCGAGCATCAAGCCCCGGCTTCCCTCACCTCCCTTGGTCCCTGCTTGACACACATGCCTTGCACAGGGCCTCACCGCCTGAGCCCGTCCTTCTGACCCCTGGAATCCCCTGGGCGCCCCTTTCTCCTCCTTCAGGTCCCTGCTCCGCAGTGAGGGCTTTCCCGAGTCCCCTCCCGCCCCGGGTCAGCGCCCCTAGGGTGCAGCTTTTGTAGGAAGCTTCTGGAACAGTGCCAGGACGTGGTCAGCCCCCCACGGCCAGTCTCTTGTAACTGTTACTGCGAGGGCTACCGCAGGTCTGGTGCTGACGTCCACGCGGCAGAACCTTCAGCCCGCCCGCCGCCAGCCCTCGCCGTGGCTGCCCTGGGGCGAGCATGCGTGCCGCCACAGAGGGCGCCAGCCACACCCGGGAACCTGGAGGGGCAGCCCTGATGCTCGCTCACGTGTGGGCTGTGTCCTTCTCGCACCTGTGTGCTTTCAGTGACACTTCTCAGTGAGATTGACCCTTGAGCCCCCAGGGAGGGAGGGGCCCCACAGCAAACAAGAGAAATTGGGGCACCGAGGCCCAGGGGCTGGCCAGGGCACATGCCATCGAGGACTGCCGGGCCTCAGGCTGCCCCTCACCGGTGCCTGAGTCCCCCCAACCTGGAACCTCCCTCTCTGACACGGCCCGTCCACCCTCCACCTCGGCGGCCGCCACCAGTGCCCGTTCTCTGGTTTCCTAAACGTAGCCTTCAGACCGAGCCAGGCCGTCCAGGGCCCGGACTGCGCCCTGCCGCCCCCGAGGCCAGCCTGCCCAGCGCCCTTCCGGGCTTCCGCCTCGACCCCCGTTCTTTACAGAGCAGGCGAGCGGGGGAGGGGGGCGCTCGTCCCTTCTGCCAGTGGAAAGAAAACGGGGGTGCTGGGGCCCTTCTCACCCCCAACGGCCGAGATGTCCACCATCACACAGTCGCCGTCCTCTTCCTCCTCCTCCTCCGTGTCCGCCTGGAAGCCGTCCAGGTCCCCAGCTCCGACCTGAACAGACAAGGGAGCACGGCCGGCGTGAGCGGCAGCGGATGGGGACACGGGACAGTGTGGCCCCGCTGCCACCACTCCTCCTGCTGACCGCCTCTACCTGTTGCTTTTCGTTTTTTTAAAGATTGGTCCTGAACTAACATCTTTTTTGTTCTTTCTCCCCAAAACCCCCACTACACAGTTGTGTATTCTAGTCGTAGTCCTCCTAGCTGTGGCATGTGGCACGCCGCCTCAGCGTGGCCTGATGAGCGGTGCCATGTCCACACCCAGGATCCAAACCGGCCGAGCCCTGGGCCGCCGAAGTGGAGCGCGCGCTTAGTCACTCGGCCCCGGGGCGGCCCCTCTAGCCGTTCGCACAACAAATCTGAGGCGTTTGACAGCCTGTGACCAAAGGAAACCTTGGGGCTTCTCTCCAATGAACGAATTAAATTTCGATCTCTGAAACCTGCCTCCACAGTTACTCACCTTATTCCAAAAATAGTTGGTGCACTGTTCGTGCACTAGAAAGATTCCGGGTTCGCGCTGGGTGTGAAGGAGAACTCACAGAGCACGCCCTGCCCCTGCTCACTGTTTGACAGCAGTGGCTGAGGACGGGGCCCAGCGGCTCAGACCCTCTGCCCGAGGGGGTGCCGCCGCGGCTGCAGAGGCCAGGCTGGTGGGGCTGGAAGGTCCAGACCGAGGACAGCTTCCAGCGAGCTTCCTGGGCTGTCTTCTCCGGGGAGCCGGAGGGGAAGACGGAAGGCGGGAGGTAGGACTGGCTGTACCCATCGCCACCCCCGCGAGCGCGCAGGCGCCCTGTCCGCGGCCACAGAGGCAGCGGAGGCGGCGGAGCCAGCTAGTTTCCACAGGGAGGCCATTTCCCCAAAGGCTTCCGGAATTCATCTGCCGCCTGCAAGAGGGCAGCAGCGTGACAAGGCGGCCGTGCACGCTGGCTCCTGGCCTGGCAGCCGGGTCCCCAGCGCAGCCCAGCAGTTCCTGGTGCCCGGGCTCCACGCCCAGGTGCGCCACTACCACGGGGCGGAGGGGACGCGGAGGGCAACCCCCAACTGGCCGGCAGAACAGCCCAGCTCTGAGTCACGCTGATTCGGGGGGGTGTGCTCTGTTAAGCGGAAGGACCTTTAGAGCCCCTCCAAGTCCCGCGCCCCCAGACAGGAGAGGCAAGTGCAGACAAACGAGGTCCCCTCTGGAGCCACCAGCGCTCAGGGGTCACCATCCACAGCCCTCCAGGCTCGCACAGGCCTCGATGCCTCCCAGGTGCAAGCTGAGCCGGCAGCGCATCCTAACAGGCAAGCTCGTCACCCTGCTGTCCCTCCGCAGTGGGTGGACGCAGAGCGGGAGGACACTCGGCAACGACGTGGGGGGGGGGGCTGTCACATCGTGCTTCTGTGACCCTCGTCTCCATCACAGGATACCCTGGACTGAGTGCAAATGGAGCCCCTCCCTGCTTTAAAATTACCCCGAGGCCCACAGTTGAGTTGCCCTGGGCCACACAGATACGTGGTGGCAGAAGTGGCACCTGAACTCAGCCTGTTTGTCCCACGAGCTCCTGACACCTTGTAAACCCACGAGTATTATGACTGGTTCGAACTTGAAAACACTGTAAACTTCTCACAAAGTAAGGCAGCCCAACCCAATTGAAGACATGGGTCCACCCGTGGCGTTGGCCACAAGCATCCCGGGGTCGGGGGCTCAGCCTGCGGCCTTGCCAAGACGCAGGGAAGCACGCCACTGCTCCCGGCCTCTGGCCTCCCTTCCAGAAAGCCGTCCCGGGTCCCCCACTCCGTGCAGGTGCTGTGCAGCAGCAGGCCCGCTCGATGCACACCCCAAAGCGACTCTCCCACCCCCCTCCCAAAACAGAACCGCAATTTTGTGGGGCAGGGGTGCTGGCCAAGGGCTCATTTCCGCAGCCTCTCTTGCAGCTTTGCGCCCAAGCATTCCAGCCAGAAAGAAACAGGCGGGGTCTGCTGGGCAGGGCTTCCCTTTCCAGCCAAATGGGCAGCTTCAGCTGCTGGTCCTGCTGGCTGGAGGGGCAGCAGCCGTTTTGCGACCATGAAGACAAAGGCCACACACTAAGGAAGGAGGGAGTGGGAGATGGGAGGAGCCTGGCCCCTGGACGACGGTGTCATTACAGGGGCTCAGGACTACTTATTGCTGGAGACAAAGCCTGTGGTTTACCCTGTGACTGGGGCTGTGACCTGTGGCCCAACACAATCCTAGGGCACCAAGTGCGGTCAAGCAGGTGCCCCCACGAGCCCTCGCAGGAGCAGCAGCAAGGCCGAAGCCCACAGAGCTGGCCCAGAACCAGGTGCTCAGGCTTCCCTTCCTGTGACGTGGCCCAGGCTGTGTCCCGGCCCCTCACCTGGGATCCTGAGAGGGACTTTTAAAATGCAGACGAGGTCCAGCACGCCCACAACCTGGACGGTCTGTCCCGCCCTCGGGGTGATGCTTCTGCCAGAGCAGTTTTAGACCTGCAGACACAGTGGCTAAGCCGTGAGGTGGGCCCAGGGTGCAGCTCGCTCACAGGGTGGCCATCGCTGAGTCCCCCACACACTGAGCCTCTATAAGGCGCCCGCCTGTGGACGGGGAGCAGAGGCCACTCGGGCTGTCCATGCGTGTGTCATGGGGAAGCCTGTTCACTGAGCCCCGGGCACACACCTTCTCCCGGGAGCCCTCGCTTTCCTGGTGGCTCAGAAGATGAGGAAGTATCTTACCACCACGGAAGCATAGGGAGCCCCGTGAAGCGCCCAGCACAGGGCCTCGCATGTGAGGACACATGCACTGGGCTAGAACCCGTGGACGGACACGGCTGTGAACACGAACGAGGACGGCCACCCTGAGGGCAAGAGCACCGCAGAGCTCAGGGACACAGCTGCGCCCCTCCCACGAGACTGTGCAGGACCCCACATTCACCCCAACGAAAGCCCCCCGGGCTCAGAGGGTGAGAGGGGCCCCGGGGGGCTGAGGGGGGAGAGGCCGCGGACGCTGCCTGGACAAGGAAACAAATCGGGGTGTCTTCCGGCCTGAGCCATTTTCAAACTGGGCCTCACACTGGTCTCCACCGGAGCAGCCTGACCCGGGGCGCCCCACCCCATTCGGTAACGCTGTCGGCCACGAAAGGGCTCTGTTGCTTGAGCACACACAGCTAGCGGAGCCCCTCATGCTCGCCGAGGCCCAGGGAGGGGGTGTCAGTGGGTTTGGGGCCCTGACTCCCAACCCCATGGGCTCCCCTCCGTGCCAGGTTGTCACCCCAGGCCAGGCGGAGCTGGCCACACAGCCTGGCACAGACACAGGCTCTGGAAGGGACCGGGGACAGTCGATGTGACAACACTGGGCCACTCTGCTGTCTCCTCTGCCGTGGCAGTGTGAGAAGGAAGTCTGCAACGCAGCCAAGGCCTCATCCGCCTGCGGGAGGCAGGGAGACCAGGCACCCCTCTAGGAGCGACTGAGGGCCCCCACCCTGACGGCCGCTTCGTTTCTCAGCTGCACAGGACGGACGTCAGAAGCGGTGGGCAGGGGCTGGGGGCTGCTCTCCCTCCCTCTCCGTCACCATCTCCATCCCCCTAGCCACAGCGCCCTCCTGA